ACAGACGTTGGTCTAAACTTGTACAGAATGTCCTGAATTTCTGCAGGTGTGGCCAAGTCGTCATTTACAAGATGTTTAACCCCTTAAACTCTAGGCTTATCATTCAGTTATGGATCTTATCTTGCTATTTAGCAAATGCAGTGAATTATTCAGTAACTATTATGAAAATAATATGTAAATTCTATAGTTATGACAGTGAGGAACCCAAGTGTGGATCCACACACGGACCCTGTGCATTTAAGGGGTTAATAAATCTGCAAATGCACTTAGTCTTTTAAAATGTTGAAGGCACAGTTTAACCATTTAAAGGCCAGGATGCACATACATTTGTTTATCCACTGCTATAATCTAAGATTAACAGCCAGTTTGCATTGAACACCATACAGTTACTGTATTGTATGCTTTAGAATGTAATAATTTAATAAGCCTGGCATTTTAGACGTTTAACTTCTATTTTATTTGTTTATTTGTTTGTGTGGGTTTTATGTACCAAAAACAGTCATAATTCACTTTTACATGGTAATTTTCTGACTTTATCCCTCAGAATTAAACAGGATATTTTAGTTATTGTGCCTTTGAAGGGAAAGTCCACCAATTTTTCAACATTTCTTTATCATTAAACAGTTGAGATGTAAACAAAGTCAGTCAGAGTGGTTTGATGTCAAATGCTCTGTTCTAGAAAAACTTACCGAGTCAGGATTGTTCACAATGGTGGTGATAGGAACCAGACGTCTGAAGAGTTTAACGCCTCTAAAAGCTCCCTCACAGAAAGTTATTACATGGAATGGTTATGGATTCACTGTCTGATGCCTGAGACATTGTTTGATCATAGTTTTGGGATGAGGTTTTGGTCTAAAATGATTTTTTTGAATGCATTCATGGTAGAAAGACACATACAGAGATGTTTTTGTGACATCACAGAAACTGTGAGTTTCAAAATTTACTGTTTTATTAAGCTTAGTTTCCATGAATGGACTTGGGGGAGTGAATGACACATTTTGAAACTTTAACAAAGTTCATGTTCTACATCAGCCTGTTTCATTTCGAGAAAGTATGTACAATTCAGTTTTCCATGTCATGGGCCCTTTAAGTTTGGAATGTGCTGTTTAATCACTTGTAGTGCTGCAGCTCAGTCCAGTGCAGTGAATTTTATGAATGGCTGTCCAACGCTTGAGCTAAAATCTAATCTAACCTCACTATAGATTTCAGTGGTGTAGCTTTAGGACTGAGTAACACTGATACTGAGATAAAAGTAAGCACATTTTTTGGTAGCTTCAGCAGACACTCTTCTCTGATCTTTAAAGAATGCAGCGGGAACATTGACTGACCTACAAATCAGAGTCACTTGTACCCTGGTCAGCAGAGACTAATCATTACCAACATAGCTGTCTGTGTAGCTCTCTGCTTACGTCTTCACACAAATACAGAGCGTTCATGGAAACAGCTGTTTTCAGTGAATCTCAAGAATACAAACTCCAATACACAACAACACTGAACATGCTCACACTGTACTGTGCAAAAGTCCACACTTCATTTGTTTAATTTGCATTTAAAACAGCCTTTACGTGCAAGTTATTCATTTTTGGGAGATATTTGTGAGGAGATTAGATATAAGATTAAAGATAAGATGTAAGACACTTGGAAAGTCAAAAGCTAATTAAAAGCTACAGGGAAAATGGGACTCCTAACAACCACCTGGAAGACCTGGTAGACACCATAACTGCCCCCCATCAGATAAACAGCACTTAAAGCTTTCATCTTTGAGAGAGAGGAGAAAATCAAGCTGCTTCAGATCTGAAAACATCCACAGGTGTTTCTGTCCATCCTTCCACTGTGAGAAGACGACTCAGCGCTATGGGTCTGAAAGGATGTGTAGCTGTTCAAGAAGAACCTCACTGAGAAAAGGAGACGGTCAAATCCGTTGAGTTGACCATTTTCACTGGAAATGAAATAGACTAAGCATAGTCTCTGACTTTTGCACAGTACTGTAGACTGTTTGAAATAGCCTTTTTAAAAGGTGTTAATAAATGTGCATGCCTTTGTTTGCATTGGTTTTTCTAGCACCTTGCTTACCTGCCTTATTACCCCACTTATCTGACTGTTACCTCACACTTACCTTTCTTTGCCACTATACACCCTTTAACTGCTGCTGCACTCAGCACTTTAACTTAAGACACATACTTTGCACAATGTAAGGTTTACAGGTATGACTGCGTGTGTGTGTGTGTGAGTAAGTGATGGTAGGAATGCATGTTTTATTTAATTTATTTATTCATTTTATGTTATTTTATGTAATTTTATGTTGTTTTATTCACTACATGTAAATATCTGTCTGAAACTGTGCACTGTGAGCTCCTCTAACCAAAACCAAATTCCTTGTATGTGTAAGTATACCTGGCCAATAAAGCTTGATTCTGATTCTGATTCTGTTTAACATAACGTGTAAACAGAAAGCTGTTTAAAACTTGACATTTTTCTTTGCAAAAACTGAAAATAAGTAAAGAAATAAGTATAACATCCTGCAAATTTTAGCATACCGATTCTTTTTATTTGCAGAGTTTAACATATTGGAAAAAAGAAAATGTGCTTTGACTTTTGCACAGGCCACATTTTATATTACCCAGCATGTTATATTCAGCAGGTAAACAGTAACTGTGCACTGAAATGTGCACAAGTGTGTTCTCTGGGGAGGAGGTGTTCACTTATTTTCACTTAAACAAATAACGCCGTTTGACCGGGGGCGCCAAAACTTTTGCACACGACCGTTCTCACTCTCATTGCGCACTCACACGCTCGGCCACTCCTAACGTTGCGTGCAGACAGTTATGCAGGCAGTTTATAACATTTATAACGCAAACACAGTATGCAGTAAGAGAAATGAAGTGTCCTTAAAACGAGGCCTTTCAGAGTGGAGTGAGGGCTGAGTGGGATCAAAAAGCTGAGTATCAACATTTCAAGGCCTCATGATAACCCTCCCCTCGCCCCAGCTGCCAGGGGGGCTGTCCTGCAGCAGCCTGTTCAGACTGGATCCTACATACCTACACACCGACAGAAAGCCTGGACCTACAGCTCCAGTTGCCTTCAGAAGAAGAAGAAGATCCTTTTACATAAGAGTCATAGCAGAGAGATCAGTTACGGCTCCGGTCTGTCCTGGGCTGGGCATTAACAGAGCCTTCACGCTTCAGCCGGACAAACAGACGCAGAGAGAGCAGGGAGAGAGGGGGATTCGGCTCAGGCTGAACTGGGCTTTGAGGAACAGCTCATAAAACCACTGCCAAAGTACGGAGTGAACTCCACAGTGAACTCACACTGCCCTCACCGAAAACCCCAAACTCCTACATTTAAAGATGAAAAAGCTCAGTTTTGCATTTTATCTCATTTATTTTGCATCTGAGGCTGCTGTTGGTCATATTGGTCAGATTTATTTAGCTGCAGAGGCTTTGAAGTACATAAAGTAGAACGCAGGAGTAATAATGATAATAATGACAACAACAACAATGATGACAACAGCAACAACAGCAATAATAACATAGTAATAGCAGAAACAGCAACACTGATAACAATAGTAATGCATATTTATTTATTTATTTATTTATTTATTTATTTTAGATTCAGCAAACAAACAGTCCCTGTGCACTGAAATGTGCAGAGGTGTGTTCTCTGTAGAGGATGTGTTCACTTGATTTGATGTACAAGAAGTACAATAATAATAATAATAATAATAATAATAATAATAATAATAATGATAATAATAATAATAACAATAGCAACAACAGCCATAATAAATATAGTGATAGTAGAAAATACGACAATAACAACAAAACCTTATTTATTTGTTTGTTTGTTGTTTATTTATTCTTTAAATTCTCTAAATGACAACAACAACAATAACAATAGCAATAACAGCAATAATAAACATAGTAAGAGTAGAAACAACAACAATAATAACAATAATAATGCCTTATTTATTTATTTATTATTTGTTTGTTTGTTTGTTTGTTTGTTTTAAATTCAGCAAACAAACAGTCCCTGTGCACTGAAATGTGCAGAATTCTCTGTAGAGGATGTGTTCACTTAATTTTACTAAAAAAAAACATGATTTGACAGACATAAAGTAGAACACAGAAATACTACTACTACTAATAATAATACTAATTATAATGATAATAATAATGACAACAATAATAACAATAGCAAAAAACAGCCAATATCCAGAGTATTTGTTCACTTAATTTTACTAAAAAAAATCCTTTGACATACATAAAATAGAACACAGAAATAATAATAATAATAATAATAATAATAATAATAATAATAATAAGTTTAAGACAACTACACTAAGACAACAACAGCAATAATACCTTATTTATTTATTTTCTTATTTATTTCCTTGTTTGTTTGTCTATACAAGCTATAGACAGTATGTACAAATGAAACAACACTGTAAACACTACCATTCCAGAAAGTATGATAATTTCACGGTGCTTATTATAGGCTACAATAATGCTATGCTAAAATAAACAACATGTGTTTCTTTTTCTTTCTTATTTTTTGGATTTGTTTTATTTTAAGGTGAGCAGTTTGCGGGGAAATAGTACAATATAGTGTGACAGTGCAATCAAATAAACAATAAATTAGAAAAAATAATAAATAAACAATGAAATGAAACAAGCAGCAGAAAAAAAACTGCATTTCGGAGTTAATCTGCTCTGTAAAGAGTCTCTGACTAACTGGGTCACGGACGCTTAACAGTTAACTCTAATGTCCAGTTTTGGACCAGAGACCGCACTTGTTTTGCGTGAAGCCCGAACGAAGGCGTTATTTTTCTTTCACACCCGTATTCGGGAGAAGCCTCGCCTCCTTCGCTAGGATTGGCTAGAGTTGTGAGCCAGGATTTTTGGGTTTAACCAGCTAGCCAATCGGAGCGCACCAGCCTGGAGATGACTAGCCAATCATAGTGCAAGAGGCGGAGCTTTTCGGAATACGGGTGGGAGAAAAAAACACGCCTCATGCGGGGAGGCGTGTCTGCAGCTCAGGCGTGAAGACGTGTTTGGAGTGTTTGGCGGTTGAGGAGAAAGAAGCAGAGCTGAAGATCATGTCTAGACTTTTAAACACAGTTAATACGAGGTTAAGAAGAGATGTTTCCTTCTGCAGGAGACTGAGGAGCGTTGCGGAGCGGACCATAAGCAGCTCGTTGAGGAGGCAAACTGAGGAGAGGTGAGGCGAAAACAGTGCCTGTGTGAGGAGCATGAAGTTTGTAAGCTGGGATTGAGATGACTGGGCTTTGCTTGGTGGTCGACAAGCCTCCTCCTGGGTCCTGCAGGAGTTTAGTTCCAACCTGCATCTAAACTACTGCACTAATGATCCAGAAAGTCAATAACATCTGAAAAACTTAATGAGCTGGAGCAGCTGTGGTTGGATCTAGACTCTGCAGGACGGTAGATCTCCAGGACCAGGGCTGGTGTCCACTGAGCAGTGCTAGAAGACCTCTGACCTAATGTGATCAGTAGCGTGATTGGATTAAAACTCAAGCATTCATTTTGATGCAGCATTGTTATGGTCAGTAAATGTGGTGGCAGGGCATTGAACTCTGCTTTATCTAGATTGGTCATCTCAAACCTTGTTTTTTTTGGGGGGTGGGGGGGTTGGTTTTATAAGCCCTTTGGGCAGTTATGAAGAGCCGTTTCAAACAGTATCTCAACTTCAATAAGTCAATATGACACTCAGGAGCTGCTCTTCTCCTAAGGCGAGATAGACCCTGTGTGCCTGTTATGCAGTGCAGCGTGCGCCCAAAACACAAAAATCTTGAATTTTTTTTAATGCTTTATCAGTTAACAGGCTAGTTAGACATTGGTTAAATGTTTCACAATAGTAATCTAATTAAAAAGTTGTGTAAGTCCTTTAGAGAAGCCTTAAAGGGCCGATTCATGTGCTTTATTTTCCCCCCGGAGGTTCACTTGTAACGCTTGCGTGATTTTATGTGCTGAAAACAGTCATATTTCATTTTTACGTGACCGTTTTCCAAACTCTCTTGATCTCTTACAACTAAACAGGCTGTTTTTTGTTACTGTGCCTTTAAGACTGACAGATATGATTGGCTGCCCTGTATTGTGCCTCATTCTGAAAGAAGTCCAGGCTGAAATACTCCTTATAACTTCAGCATGAATGGGCGGGGCCAAACTGCTGCTGCAGATTGAGTGACATTGTGAAAACAGTGATTTCGAAATGGGCTGTTTTTGAAGATTAGTTACCGTACATGGAGCGAGGAGTCCATTTTGAAGCTATAATAATGTTTACATACTACTTTTAATTGAAAATAGTGACGGTTCTTCTTCAGGGGTTCTTTTCAACTCCTTGGAACCACCGGTGGTTCCAAAACGCGCTTCGTCATATTCTTCATAACTTTCATATTTCATAAGCTACATTCAGAAGGTGGGGGTCGTATGAGAGCTGTAACTGTCTTCTTTCCAGCCAAATAGATGGGTGATGTAATTTTAAACCCTAATAATAAAAGAAGCTGAGCTGCATTTTTTTTTTAATAAAAGTCGACCCATTTTTCCACAAATCTGGGCTTTAAACTATAAACATAAACGTCTCTTCAGTGATCTGCTCTGTAAAAATTATTTTTATAAAAAAATACAAAGAGCGTCTAAGATTTTTGGCTTTCAGCAGTAAATTGTAAGCATATAGCAACATGTGTGATCATAAAACACATTTTCTGTTAATTTGACGGGAAATATTACAAAATAAATAAATAAAAATAAAAATGTACGTTTATTTCATGCAGTTACTGAATAATTACCTTACGATTTGGTCATGTAAATTCAGATGGACAAACCAAAATATACCCTGGTCAATAAGAGGTTAAGGGAGGTGGTTATATGTAGAACTGTGACAACTCAAAGAACCGTCTTAATGCCTAAATGGCTGCTTGCATGGTTGGTTCTTCTCCATGATGGAAATCCTTCCCTCTCCTTCTCTCTCTCTCTCTCTCTCAGGGATGGGCATGTGGGAGCTCTGGGGAAGAGGCTGCAGGACACGGCCGAGACCCTGATCATTGGTGGAGGATGTGTGGGTGTGAGTCTGGCCTACCACCTGGCCAAAGCCGGCCAGAAGGACGTGGTGCTGCTGGAGAAGTCCGAGCTGACTGCTGGATCCACCTGGCATGCTGTAGGTCCAACATAGAGCCAACCAGTCTTCTCCTTAAAGGGGAATTACACCAATTTTTCAAAATTTTTAAATATTTCAATCACTCATATGTAAAGTTTGGTGGTTGTAGAGATGATTTCTCTATACTTTTTTTTACGATTTCTCCCTCCAGGCCACATACAGCCATTTTATTTACTATCTCAAATAAAAAAGTGAATCTTCATCTTCTGTGTTTTTATATGTAATGTTAGTAATAGTGAAATAGGAGTAAATCTTAAAAAAACACATTTTTCCTTGATGACGATTTTGCCTCACAGCACCCTGCATTCAGGAAAATACATTTAAGGCCAAAAACCTTCTCAAAACTATTGTAAAACAATGTCTCAGGCATCAGGCAATCATAATAATATAATGTACTTTCTGTGAGGGAGCTTTCAGAGGCATTAAACTATTCAGACGTCTGGTTCCTATCACCACCACTGTGAACAGCCCTGACTCTGTAATAGAGGTGGGCAATATGGCAAAATGCAATGTCATGATACTTCAGGAAGTTTTTTACCATACATGTTACGATATTTATTTTGTCTGAAATCTGAAGTTAGAACAGACAATCTAGTGCCACATTTCACACACTGTGCAGCAATAAATCTAATTAAACAGGATTAATTATGCTCTCTTTTTAATCAAACATGCAGTTGGGAAGTGATTTTTAAGTACTGTCGATATCCACGATGCGCTCAGAAAAGATAGCTTGTAATGTAATTTATCACGATAACGGTAAATCTCGTCATATTGCCCAGCTCTACTCTCGAACAGAGCATTTCACATCAAACCACTCTGAATGACTTCATTTACATCTTAACCCTCTTCTGCACACATTATGAGAGCAATTTAAAAAATATCCAATTCACTTTTTTTGCAATAAATGGCCCTTGATTTATTTTTTTGGATTATTATTCAAAAACATAAATAGTAATGTGTGCAGGGGTCCTTTTGGAGTATGTTGCCCTGAAGCAACATTGTGCGACAATGGGAAGAAACAAATTCTCATAACAAAAAAAATGATACTGAATGTTAAATAAGAGGTTTAGATGTGCCCACTAAGAGACAGTATGACCAAGTACATGCTTTTTATTGACTTACTCAAACTCTTCCCTTTATTGTAAACGCTTTCGTTGTCTTTAAATATGTATAATGTTATTGTAAAGTGAGGAAAATGAGTTTGTTGCCCTGAGGCAACATTGTGCAATAGAGGGTTAAAGATTGAATATGCAGAATTTTTTAAATAATCAGTGGAATTCCCCTTTAAGGTGCTAGTGTGAGCCAAGCTGAATGAGCCTGACTCAGTTAACCCCTTAACTGTTTAGCATATTATTCAAAGAAAGTTTTCCATTCTTTCCCTCAATGTAATCAGCCAAGTCATGTTTGGTATCTGTTCATTTTTACAGATAACAGTACATCACACAGTGTCAAAAACCACATAAGATCCTCTTTTTTTAATTTACTGAACCCTATCAAACCTAATATCTTATCAGTGATCCTTTTAGAGTCTTTGTCTTTGTGTCCTTTAGCTCATTAAAATCTGCTGAGTAGTTGGGATGAGTATGAGGAACTGGAGCTACTGTGTTTCCTATCACTGTATAAAAGAAGCTCCATGCTGCCTTTATTGTTGGATGCACTGTGATAATTTCTGAGAGGGTGTGGGCACACATTCACATCGCCATGGAAACGCTTATAACTGATTTGTTTGAAAAAAATATGTGTGTTTGCTTGTTTAAAATGGTTGTTTGTGACACAAACACAGTGAATATCGCTATGAGAAGTGTGGGTCGGTGCCAATATCCAGTATTTTTGTAAATATCTACCGATGCTGATATATAAACATTGTAGAAATTCAGATTAGACCAACCTGGATTAGCATTAGGGAGATAAATAACGCTTATTTCTGCAGGGTTACGAATGCAGATATTTTAGTGCAGCAGCCCAGTGTCAACTAAACATTGTGCCCTTCCAGCGTCCAAAAAAAAATATCAAATATCATTTTAAAACATCAGTCAAACCTAAACACCTGTCCGATATCTGCCAACAATGATATATTTCTGATACAATCAGACATCCCTAAAAACATTGATTAATGCAGCTACATCACAGTAATGGAGCAGAGTAGATTAAAAGGCAGAAGTAGCTGTTTTTTCTGTTGATCTTCAAGGGGAATTCCACCTGTTTTTCAAAATTTCTGCATAATTGACAGTCATTTAGAGTGGTTTGGTGTGCAATGGTTGATTGTAGAGACTCAGATTTCTTTAAAGTGGTGATGATGGGAACCAGGGGTCGCCATGACTACAACACAAATATAGACGTTTTATATACTATTCAAAACCACCACTAAACCTACATGTGTCTTCTGAGTTTTATATGGAATGTTGATGATGGTAAAGTAGTGGTAAAACAGTTTTCTTTGGGGACTATTTTGCCTCCCAACACCCTGCACTTTGCTCTCCACCATGAATGCATTTTCAGAAATTTGCCTTAGAAAATTAGGTTAGGTTATCGCACAAGCATCGTAAAATAGTGTCTCAGGCATCAGGCAGTATATTCATATCTTTCTGTGAAGGAGCTTTGAGAGGCATTAAACCCTTCAGACATCTGGTTCCTATCACCACCACTGTGAACAATTCTGAATCAGCAATTTCTCTGGAACGGAGCATTTCACACCAACCCGCCCTGAATGACCCTGTTTACGTCTTAATGATGTAATTATGCAGCGGTTTTGTAAAATTGGTGGAATTCCCCTTTATAATGTTTGAGATGGGTGTGGGATGGTTCAGGCCTGCAGTTTGCAGATGCTGATTGGTCGCAAATAGGCTTCCATTACCTGTCAGCTACATTAGCCTTAAGCACCAGTGCAAAACCTATTACTGTGCCGCTGCTGCTGTGGAACTATGCGAGGTATGTAGTCGTAAGAGTGAGGAACTGACGTCTCCTGGGAGCTGAAGTGGTCAATCTCGGAATGGTTATCGTCAGTAAAGATTTGCATTCACTGAATTAGCTGAAAACAGGCTGAGACCAAAGTCTGGAGCCACAGCAGCCCTGTAGTGGATAAAAGCTGAATTGACTATTGACCTTAGATGTGTGATTGTATTTTTTCACTTCTGCTTATCAGTTGCAAATTCTTGGCTTATTGATGGCCACATGGTTGGTCATATGACTTGTCGCAACACTGGAATAAGAAAAAGTTTGCATTTTCCAGCACACAAACACAGTTAATCAGGTACACCGATCAGGCATAACATTATGACCACCTCCTTGTTTCTACGCTCATTGTCCATTTTATCAGCTCCACTTACTATATAGGTGCACTTTGTAGTTCTACAGTTACAGACTGTAGTCCATCTGTTTCTCTGCATACTTTGTTAGCCCCCTTTTACCCTGTTCTTCAGTGGTCAATGTCACCTCAGTGTCACTGCTGGACTGAGAATAGTCCGCCAACCAAAAATATCCAGCCAACAGCGTCCTGTGGGCAGCGTCCTGTGACCACTGATGAAGGACTAGAGGATGACCAACACAAACTGTGCAGCAGCAGATGAGCTGTCGTCTCTGACTTTACATCTACAAGGTGGACTGACAAGGTAGGAGTGTAATAGAGTGGACAGTGAGTGGACACAGTATTTAAAAACTCCAGCAGCACTGCTGTGTCTGATCCACTCAGACCAGCGCAACACACACTAACACACCACCACCACGTCAGTGTTACTGCAGTGCTGAGAATGATCCACCACCCAAATAGTACCTGCTCTGTGAGGGTCCATGGGGGTCCTGACCACTGAAGAACAGGGTAAAAGGGGGCTAACAAAGTATCAGAGAAACAGATGGACTACAGTCTGTAACTGTAGAACTACAAAGTGCACCTATATAGTAAGTGGAGCTGATAAAATGGACAATGAGTGTAGAAACAAGATCGGTTTATATGATTACAGTAAGAAGTTTCATTGGTTAAGCCGACCGAACATTTGCAGGAAACTATCCAGGTCAAGCACTACGCAGGATCTCAGTCAGATCAGACTTGTTTTACAGAGTGACTGAGCTGTGTAGAACCCTCGGCTGTCAAAAGCACAAACGCAGAGAACAGGTGAAAGTGTCAGGGTTAACGAACGGCCAAGATGTTCAGCTTTACAGAGCCTGCAGAGGGAATGAGAGAGTGAAGGTGAGTGCTTGGGGGGGTTCTGGTAATTTGACCCAGTTTTTAGTTCTTGGAAAACACCCTTCTCTCCCTCCGCTGCCTTCGCAGCAGTGCTACCCTTCTACTCTGCACAGAGGAGTAAACATTAGACGTACTAGGCCTGTCACAATTATTACATAATCACCTGATTGCAGTTATTTGAGTTGACTGCAATTTTTTTCCACAGCTGTTAGCTTTCACAATCACATGCTAACATTGCTTGAAATAGAGTGTAACTGCTACACCATTTAAGGTGTATGGAAATGGAAATAGAAATGGAAAATTTGGGTAAGAAGCTAAACACCTTTAGAGGGAAGCAAAGAGTAAAGTTTGTTTATTTTATGTTTGTTAATAACACCTTTAGAGGGCGGCGGTGAGTAACGTTTGTTTATTTGATGTTTGTTAATAACACCTTTAGAAGGCAGCAGTGAGTAACGTTTGTTTATTTGATGTTTGTTAATAAAACCTCTAGAGGGCGGCGGTGAGTAACGTTTGTTTATTTGATGTTAATAACACCTTTAGAGGGCGGCGGTGAGTAACGTTTGTTTATTTGATGTTTGTTAATAACACCTTTAGAGGGCGGCAGTGAGTAATGTTTATTTGACGTTTGTTAATAACACCTTTAGAGGGCAGCGGTGAGTAACGTTTGTTTATTTGATGTTTGTTAATAACACCTTTAGAGGGCGGCAGTGAGTAATGTTTATTTGATGTTTGTTAATAACACCTTTAGAGGGCGGCGGTGAGTAACGTTTGTTTATTTGATGTTTGTTAATAACACCTTTAGAGGGCGGCAGTGAGTAATGTTTATTTGATGTTTGTTAATAACACCTTTAGAGGGCGGCAGTGAGTAACGTTTGTTTAGACTTGTTCTTTTGTAGTTGCATACAATAAGCAATTAAGCTGTTCATAGAAATTATTTATTTGGTAATTAATTAGCATCCAAAATGTCTGATTTTGAGAGGCCGGCTAAATATATGCTCACTCTCATCTATAGTACGTCATATGCTACAGTATGTTGTGAACAGGGACCCGATTTATGGTCTTCATTCCAGATGGCAGGATATCCTTGAACAGAAGTCAACTCTGGGCCATTTGGTTTGGTAGGATAAGTGCAGCAGACTTTTATTTAACTAATGGTTTCCCTCTTCAAAGGGAAGCTTTAGCGACTGCAGTTCTGTGAGTTGTCCTGTAAGCTCAGCTTTGTGGGTGATATGACACTGTATGGTACCATGATAAATACGGTAGAGAGTAATGTGATGGTTTTAAAGGAAGCAGGTCATTTTGAGAGGCAAATTTGAGAAGAACTTGATTTGTTGAAACCAAAACTGACCGTGTTTACCTTATTTGTCACAGGTCATATTAGTAACGATTCATCATATTATAGACAAAATTCTTGATTTCCTGTAATCTTCCATCAAAATGTAATGACTTGTGCGCTGCCTCTAAAACATCTTTTGATTTTTGATGATGTCACTGAGCACCAGCAGGCGGGGCAAAATTATATTAACCATAATGTCATGTTTCTCTTCCCACCACCCCCATCTTTTATGGAGTGAACACTCTCAGATAGCTCAGAGACCGTCCCTGATATCGCATGTCACTCACAAATACGCCACAGTACTGCGGTGATTTTACATTCATGCTGTGCTGAATTAAGACAGAATGAATGCAGTGGGTATTAAAGAGTGAATAAAGCACAGCCCTGAGTACTTAAGACTGTTTTATATGGTGATGTCACAGCAATCTCACCAAGCATAATAATGAAAGTACTGATGACGATGATGCTGTTTCTCTCCGCAGGCTGGATTGACCACGTACTACCACCCAGGGATCAATCTGAAGAAGATTCACTATCACAGCATTAAGCTATATGAGCAGCTGGAGGCAGAGACCGGCCAGGTAGGACAGTCAAGCCTTTAATAGATTTGTCGTTTAATAGAAGACGTCACTAATCTCACTAATTTAGAGGAAACTGGGTAAAACTTTATTTTAAGTGGTTCTTTTCAGATGAAACAAACACTCAACAGACTCCCAGTAACATGTCAACAGCATATGAGGGTTAGGATTAGGTCTTGGGTAAGGTTAGGTTTCTATTAACTGTACATCTACTTAATGTAAGTAATGTATCAACAGAACATCTACAATACACCGATCAGGCATGACATCATGACCACCTCCTTGTTTCTACACTCATTGTCCATTTTATCAGCTCCACTTACTATATAGGTGCACTTTGTAGTTCTACAGTTACAGACTGTAGTCCATCTGTTTCTCTGCATACTTTGTTAGCCCCCTTTTACCCTGTTCTTCAGTGGTCAGGACCCCCATGGACCCTCACAGAGCAGGTACTATTTGGGTGGTGGGTCATTCTCAGCACTGCAGCGACACTGACGTGGTGGTGGTGTGTTAGTGTGTGTTGTGCTGGTCTGAGTGGATCAGACACAGCAGTGCTGCTGGAGTTTTTAAACACCTCAGTGTTGCTGCTGGACTGAGAATCGTCCACCAGCCAAAAATATCCAGCCAACAGCGTCCTGAAGGACTAGAGGATGACCAACACAAACTGTGCAGCAGCAGATGAGCTGTTGTCTCCGATTTCACATCTACAAGGTGGACTGACAAGGTAGGAGTGTCTAATAGAGTGGACAGTGAGTGGACACAATGTTTAAAAACTCCAGCAGCACTGCTGTGTCTGATCCACTCATACCAGCACAACACACACTAACACCCCACCACCACGTCAGTGTTACTGCAGTGCTGAGAATGATCCACCACCCAAATAGTACCTGCTCTGTGAGGGTCCATGGGGGTCCTGACCACTGAAGAACAGGGTAAAAGGGGGCTAACAAAGTATCAGAGAAACAGATGGACTACAGTCTGTAACTGTAGAACTACAAAGTGCACCTATATAGTAAGTGGAGCTGATAAAATGGACAATGAGTGTAGAAACAAGGAGGTGGTCATGATGTTCTGCCTGATCGGTGTTTTTACCTTAGTGTATTTGGATGCTTCTCCGCTGCTACTTTACTGATACGTTGTTGATATGTTACTGATAATCTGCTGAGAGTTTATTAATGATCTACAAAGGACCATTACAAATAAAGTCTCACTGGAAACTGAAGATTCTTAATGTGATAAAATGGATTTTGATTGTAAAGCGTATTGAACCACACGTTTATTCAAATGGCGGGGATAAAACTATTAAACTAATTCATGAGGTAAGTAACGTGAGGCAGGTAAGTGCTCTTGTGCTGTATTTGAATGCTGGTAACTATTCATAGAGTTTAAAATACCAATTTGGCCTATTAAAGGGCAAATAATGTTAATTAAAGCTACACTGAGTGAGTTTTGGGGATTTGGAGATCAGCAGCGGCGCTCACTCTATATTATAGCATGCTTCTTTCTCCAGGCTCTGTAGTGCTGCTTCATTCATTTAAACTAAAAATCGTACATGGTGCAGCTTTAAATTGTGACTTTGGCTAATACAAAGTGCTGGAATATATTGGCCAATTTGGCTGTAAAGAAATCGGCCATAAAAATTCATGAATTTGAATTGTAATTGTTTTTTAATGAGGTCAGAGATTTACACCCCTGATTTACATTTTGTTTTGGTGCTAAAGTGGCTCATTGTTTAAGGGCTGAGCTGGTTTGAATCCCAGGCTGTACTGAAGCATAAATTGTCTTGTTTCCAACGCAGGCGGTGGGCTTCCATCAGCCGGGCAGCGTCAGGATTGCCTCGACCTCGGCCAGAGTGGACGAGATGAAGTACCAGATGACCCGGACTCACTGGCACCCCACTCCACAGTTCCTCATCGGACCAGAGAAGGTCCACGAGCTCTTCCCTCTGCTCAACATGGACAAGGTGGGAGCTCACATAAACGTTTATGCACACATCTGAATTACGTGAAGGTCGGAATCTGTAGGCATTTGCTTCACTCAGACTGAGGGAATCAGCAAAGCAGGTGACAAGTTTGAAACTTTGAGGACAGATTAAACCTGTTCCTGGGCTCAGATACTCTGTTTTATCTTTCACTGTAAATATTTTATAGGCCTTGTCCTTGGCCAGGAAAGCACATGTGCTTTTTCCCTCCACGGACTTGAGCGGTGTTGGTGTGTCTGCGCTCCCAGCTGCATAACAAGAATCAAAAAAGCGAGAACCGGCTCTTCAGCATTGTCATCCGCATTGCTGCAAATACTCCTTCAAGCTGGCTGCCACTGCTTTAGTTTACAACTCCAGTAAATATTTGCCTTAAAAGGGAATTTCACCGATTTAACCTCTTTTTGACCAGGCTATATTTTGGTTTGTCCATCTGAATTTACATGACCAAATCATAAGGCAAATTATTCAGTAACTGCATGAAATAAATGTACATTTTTATTTTATTTATTTATGTATTTTTTGTAAAAGCTCCCCTCAAATTAACAGAACATGTGTTTTATGATCACACACATATTGCTATATGCTTACAATTTATTGCTGAAAGCCAAAAATCTTAGTATTTTTTGTGACTTTGGCTAATATAAAATCAACCCTACACTGGTTACCAGTTAAATTTTGCATTGATTATAAAATTCTATTACTGACCTATAAAGCTCTAAAAGACTCGCCCCTCAGTACCTGAGTGAACTTCTCTCCCACTATGAACCATCACGCCTACTTAGATCACAAGGTGCTGCTCACTGTTAGTACCTAGAATCAATAAAGTTACATCAGGGGGGAGAGCCTTCTCGTTCAGAGCCCCCCAGCTTTCTTTGCCGAGTTGAACAGCTGCCCATCCTGTGCGTCTGATGCTGTTGCCTCACCTGCCTTGATCAGGTGCCCACTGCTCGCCAGCCCTCTGCACCGGCTTGACCACCACTGAGCTTCATGCTGAACAGCACTGTGCAAACCTCACCTGCATGAACTGACCCTCCCGATGCTGCTGCTGCTGCTTAAACTAAACTAATCAATTTAACCATTGCTCCACCTGTTTTCCCCGTTGTGTACTACAATACCTTATACTAACAATGTTTTGCTATTCGGTGTCGACCAGAGGAGGATGGGTTCCCCTTCTGAGTCTTGGTTCCTCTCAAGGTTTCTTCCTCTTGCTTAGGAAGTTTTTCCTTGCTGCTGTCGCCACTGGCGACACTCATGGGGGCGTGGACCCGGATTTCTTTCTTTAATGCTGATTTTTCTGTAAAGCTGCTTTGTGACAACACCTGTTGTAAAAAGTGCCATATAAATAAACTTTGCTTGCTTGCCATTTAAAAAAAATAATAATGTTTACAGAGCAGATCACTGAAAAGACGCCATCTGTTTATAGTTTATAGCCCAGATTTGTGGAAAAATGGTTAAACTTTCAGTAGACAAAAAAAACTGTGAGTTCAGCTTCTTTTATTATAAGGGTTTAAAATTACATCACACATCTATTTGACTGGAAAGAAGACAGTTACAGCTCTCATACGACCCCCAGCTTTTGAATGTAGCTTATGAAATATGAAAGTTATGAAGAATATGACGTGAAGTGCGTTTTGGAACCACCGGTGGTCTCAAGGAGTTGAAAAGGTTAAAGAAATCTATAGAATTCAATTACTGAAATGTATACAAAGTTTGACATGAAGAAAAACTTGCTGTCTCAGATTTCTTTACAGTGCTGTTGACAGGAACCAGGGGTCACAACGTCTACGATACAAATGTAGCCATTTTATTTACTATCCAAGACCACCAGTGAACCTAGAGCAGCTGTTGTTTCTAAAGGTGTATTTTTTTGTTATGGCAGCGATGAATGATGTGATTCTCTCTCTGTCAGGTGCTGGCAGGACTCTATACTCCCGGCGATGGCCACATCGATCCCTACTCTCTCACCATGGCACTTGCAGCTGGTGCCCGAATGTACGGTGCCCAGATCTACAGCCCCGCCCCTGTCACAGGCCTGTCCCCCACCCCTGATGGGAAGTGGGACGTCCAGACACCTCATGGGACCATCCGAGCCAACCGCATCGTCAATGCCACAGGTACGTCCAGTTCCAGCATGCAGATAATGGGCATCACAGGACACTGGAGACCCAGTGTACCCAGAGTGTATTTTCGAGTTTATGACTCTAATGCTGCGTTCACTTTATGACGGTAGATGGACAATGGTACTAGAATTAAGAGAAAAATGTTTTCTGTGATGCTAGGCTCATTATTTTTAACTAAAGCAGCTTTCTACCGTTTGGGAAAGACTGCTGAAGTTCAGCCTTTTCTATTTCCGGGTGATGTAGAGAAACTTATTCATACATTTATTACAAGCAGAGTTGATCACTGTAATGCTCTTCTTACTGGGCTTCCTAAGAAAATAATACGTCCTCTACAGCTCGTTCGAAATGCAGCAGCACAGATCCTAACAAATTCAAAGCAGAGAGCCTGTATCACCCCCCGTTTACTAAGAACCATTCTGGCTGTCTGTATCTATTAGAATAGATAGAAGTTCTGCTTATTTGTAGGGATCTAAATGACCCAAAAGCACTGCTAACATTACAGAATATCTGTTTGTTTATGTTCCAACATGTGATATAAATATAAATGAAGTTATTATTACACTATAATTATTATCTGCGCTGGTCTTGAACCTTGTTTTCCCACGTGGATAAGGGGTTACTTAACCATTCAGCTAAATAAACAATAATAAAACGTACTTAACAGCTCAAAAACTACTCAAACCTGAACTACTAGCCTGTAAAAATATTTAAAATCTGATTCTTCTCATTCCGAATGTTGTGTGTAAAATGCACCATATGGTAAAATGAAGGAGGAACGGCTGATGTTACAACAAACCTGCATCATCATAGGTGCTTTTTAATAAATTAAATATGTATCTATTCATTTTTGTAGGCCTATATTGAAAATAAAAATGTACATCTTTATTTAGACATATGCACTTATGTTTGTGTGTATATCCTGACTGTAAGCACGAATAGAAAAAGCTGTTCAGGGAATCCTGACTTTAGCCTTTTTTAGACCAAAGCATTTAATAGTATCTCCACAAGGGGGCGCCGTTAACAGTCAAACAGCTTTTGTTGCTTTAAAAGAGCGGTGCTTCACATCAGTGACACTGTGTGTCCTTGTTCAGCCTTACAGTCCACAAAAAATGTGCTCGCAGTTCTGATATAATTGGCTGTTAGTGTTTCACTATTATTATTTTGCACAAATCTGATTGGTGCTTTTGTAAGTTTGTAATATTGTTGAAATCAAATTTGTTTAAAGTAGAAGTTAATTAGAATTCTGTTTATGGAGTCAGAGGCACGCTATTCTGATTAAAAACTTATCACTTTATTCCATCATCATGATATCCATTTGCTGTATTAGACATAGTTTCTTATGTCCATATTGTGCACATACCTGCCTCATGTTATTTACGTCAGACTTGCAACACGAGTTGGCTGAAATTAAATAACTTAACCAGTTGCAATGTACATAAAATTTAAAGTACTGTGAATTTACAGTAAATAATTGCAAAGAAAAAATACAGTAAAATATTGTAAAATATAAAAATAAAATACTGGATTATTTACCATAAACATGCAGAACTTTACTGGAAACTACTGCCAATTTACAGTAAATTTTATGGTCATTTTTTTTACAGCGTAGTCTTCCTGCTACGCATTGCATTGTCTGGTATGTTACTGTAAACTAATGCCAGCTCTAAATGCCCAGTCGTTCAGTATGATCCTGTAAAATAACAAACCGGTATTCCACACAATATAAATACTGTAAATGTACAGCTTTGTGTAAACTTAATTTTTACACTTTTTACATTTTTACACTTGTTTCCTTGTGCAGTAGTGTGTAACTGTGCTTGTTATAATGATTGACATGAGAAAGAATCATGTGCTGGAAACACTTTACTGAGGTGAACAGTTCAGGTTTATGCACAAACAGTCCAGGGTCGTACACACTGTTACCAGGCTTCCAGAGAACAGACTGCTAGAGGACAGGATACAGACACAGATCAAAATAAACAGCCAAAGGTCAGTACATGGACGGTCTCTGCAAATAACAGGGATGTAACAGTCTCAGAATCTCAGTGAGGCAATGGGAGGCCCAGAGCATACAAAGCAGTGTATATACATATGATAATGAGTCCAATATTGAGTAACAGTCGAGAGTGATTTTAAGGACGGGGATCCAGGGCAGGGCCAGGGGTCACTAGGCCAGCGAAACCAAGCGCCACTAAGCTACAGGCGTGGGAGAAAGGAAGTGACAGCTATAGCTGTACAGCATTTTGAATACAGTCTAGATTTTATAATATATGTTACATATGCAGTAATATAGGCTGTAAACACCAAGCCTTCTAAGATTTTTTTTTGTTGTTTGTTTTTTTTGCATTTGTAAATTTAATGGCAAAAGCACCAATAAAAATAGTACAGAATTACTTGGAAACTCGCATTAACTTCCATTAAAATGTAAAAATGTTTTTCCTTCTGAAAATTTACCATTTTGGAAATACACTGATCAGGCATAACATTATGACCACCTCCTTGTTTCTACACTCATTGTCCATTTTATCAGCTCCACTTACTATATAGGTGCACTTTGTAGTTCTACAGTTACAGACTGTAGTCCATCTGTTTCTCTGCATACTTTGTTAGCCCCCTTTTACCCTGTTCTTCAGTGGTCAGGACCCCCATGGACCCTCACAGAGCAGGTACTATTTGGGTGGTGGATCATTCTCAGCACTGCAGTAACACTGACGTGGTGATGGTGTGTTAGTGTGTGTTGTGCTGGTACGAGTGGATCAGACACAGCAGTGCTGCTGGAGTTTTTAAACACTGTGTCCACTCACTGTCCAGACGCTCCTACCTTGTCAGTCCACCTTGTAGATGTAAAGTCAGAGACGATAGCTCATCTGCTACCGCACAGTTTGACTTAATCAAGAATGACAAAGTGACAATCTAGAAACAGGTTAAATAATCTCGTAATATTCCTACAACAATATAAAACCTTTTGTTTTTTTATTAGCTGTCAGTGTGGAAACCTGAGGTGAAGTCACCTGAGGTCAAGCCTGGTAAAGTGATGATGTGTCAGTGCGTTCCACAGGTACAAGTGAAGAGGTCGTGTTGTTGTTATGCAGACCCAGCAGGATCGTAAGCCTTGGTGGTGTTTCTGTGAAGGTCATTGTACCTGTTATCTCGTTTGGCAGACAAGCTGTCATTCAGAAACGCTGATGGTTGTGTGAGTTTTGAGTGGTGTTTACTAAGCTACCAGCTCTAGTTATAAGCCTAGTTGGCTTTGGTTAAATGTATTCTCTAACCCCTATGTTTCATTGAAAATAGTACAAAGTCAACATATCAAATGTTGAAACTGAGAAATTTAATTGTTTTTTAAAAAATATATGCACATTTTGAATTTGATGCCAGCAACACATTCCAAAAAAGCTGGGACGGGGGCAACAAAAGGCTGGTAAAGTTGTGTGATGCTGAAAAAAACACCTGGTGGTGGAAATCATGGACGCTGTGTCCTCTGGGATAAAGACCACTCAGCTTGTTATCAGGGCACAGTTCAAAAGCCAGTATTCATGATGGTATAGGGGGGCATTAGTATGCTGCCATCCAGACGACGTCTTTTTCAGGGAAGGCCTTGATTATTTCAGCAAGACAATGTAAAACCACATTCTGCATGTGTTACAGCAGCATTGCTCCGTATTAACAGAGTCCAGGTGCTAAACTGACCTGCCTGCAGTCCAGACCTGTCACCACTGAAAACATTTGGAGGGTTTTTCTTTAAAAATATTGTTTACATGATTTGCATATCATTGCATTGTATTTTTATTTACATTATGCACAGCGTCCCAACCTTTTGGAAATGGGGTTGTATTTAAATCCAAGGCATTAATAGAGATAGCAATAAGCTAAATATATACAAAATCATCATTTATTGGGTACTTTCTGTTGGGAGGTGTCTGTCCCAAACCCTAACCCCTGAATTTACACTTGTCAAAATGTTGGTTTTTTTAAGATTTTTTTTTTTTTTAAAGTGAGGTCAAAAGATGTAGATTGATCTTGTTTTATACTAAGTTTTTTATGTTACTACCATTTAGCCATTTTAGACATTGTAGAGCAGCAAGCAAGGCTGCATTCCTGTCCCACATGGTGAGCAGTTACACCCCATTGTTTTGAGGTAGATGTGTCCTACAGTCTGAAAATCAGTGTGGAAGATTAAGAATTGTCTCTACTGAACAGAGCCAGTTCTACCTAATAAGCGACATAAGCAGCTGCTTAGGGCCCACAGCCACTAGACAGCCCCCTAACAGCTTTTAGGTAATTACTCTAAGTTACCATTATTTTTCACATAATTTACACCACCTGTGCTAGTCATTGGTATTAGTTAGACTCTAATTTCACAGAACATTTATTTAATACTATATATAACATTTATATGTATAAATGTTTGAATTATATTAAGACTGGTCCTTATACATACAATAACTATATTAACTCTATATTAACCATAAACATAAACTTAGACTGACAGTAAATGTACCACAACAGTATTCAGTCAAATATATGGCTAAAATACAAATAGGACAAATTAAATAAGTTACTAACATTAACAATTCAAAACGATAAAAAATCTTTTTTTAAACCTTTTACAAGGTGTAGGTCTGGGTGGAGTGCCTAGGCACATGGGTACCCCAAAAAATCCTGCTTAGGGCCCCCAAAATGTCAGACCTCCTCCTGAAGCACGTATTTTCTAAAGTTAAATAAACTTTTTTGTGTTGTCATAAAAATATTTAAAAATTGTAACTACTGAAACATTTGGTAAAGTTTTTGTACTGTTACAACCGTTTGGTAGTGACAGTATGGAATGTTCAATCGTTTGTTTAGTAAAATAAATGTAATTATTATTCTATAATAAAATTAATATAATTGAGGTAGCCACTCAAAGTGGAAGGATTTTAGTCCAAATCATATGAAAGTCCAAAATGTGTTTTCAGCTCTAAGTTCAGTTAGGATCCATGTAATGCATCTGTGCC